TCTCTCTCTCTCTCCCTCTCTCTCTCTCTCTCTCTCTCTCTCTCTCTCTCTCTATATATATATATATATATATATATATATATATATATATATATATATAGTTTTCCTTTTGTTGAAATTTTTTTCCTCACATAATACATCATGATTATGGTTTCCATTCGCTTTAGTCCTCCAAGTTCTCTCCACCTCCCCCCCAATCTGGATCCACTCCCTTTCTGTCTCTCATTAGAAAACAATCAGGCTTCTAAGGGATAATAATAAAATATAACAAAATAAATTACAACAAATTAAAACAAAGACTATTACATATCAGAGTTGGACAGGACAAACAAACAGAAGGAAAATAGCCCAAGAAAAGGCAAAAGAGTCAGAGGCACACTCGTTCATACACTCAGGAATCCCATAAAGACACTAAACTGGAAGCCATAATATATCTGCAGAGGACCTGGTGCAGTCCTGTGCATGCTGCCTCCATCTCTGTGAGTTCATATGAGCTTAGCTCATGTTGACTTAGCTCAAAGGCCTTGTTTACTTGGTGTCCTCCATCCCTTAATGCCTCCTCTTCTTTGGGGTTCCTTGAACCCTTAAGGGAGGTGTCTATAGCTATATTTTTTTAACCATGAAGGAAATACAAATATACTGCTATTAAACTCATGTTGCAATCCTCACACAGGCTCTAGCATTGCATAAAAGTATTTAATGATGGAGCTGGAGAGGTGGTTCAGTGGTTAAAAGCTCCTGCAGAGGAATCAAATTCAGTTCTTAATGCCCATGTAGAGTGGGTCACAATGGCCTGCAACTCCAAATCTAGGGATCTGATGGCTTTTTCTGCCTTCCTGTGGCACCTTCACTCACATACACATACCTACACACACACACACACACACACACACACACACACACACAAAATTAAAAAAAGTCTTAAAAAAGCAATTAATGTTTAAAGTTTATGTAAAGCCAAGTTTGAAACAAAACATGATGAATTCTAGTCAGTTAGAGGCACAAAGCTCACAACATCCATTGGGGTGGGAAACAGGTGGTGATGACGGAAGGGCTGGTATCACAGCCTAACAGGGTCAACGTGATGTGGCAGAGCCCAAGGGTCCAGCAGGAAGCTACAACAGGGTTCCCTGCATGAAGTCTGGGAAACAGACATGGAAGAACTTGACTTGCCAAATAGGTCAAAAATCAATAATCAGAATGGTCAAGTAATGTTAAGGTAACAGCTGGTCAGAGTTTGGCTCCCCAGGTAGACACAGACTTAAAATGAATATCTTATTAGAAGCTGTCTACAACCCAAGCCACAAAAAGGCAAAGACCTATAACTCACGTTTCAACCAATAAAAAGTTATCAACAGGCATTAGAAGCTTCACTCCTTTGGCAAACAACTTATCAGCAGGAATAGAAGCCACACAAGGAAATTCAGCAGCCTAAAAGGAAGAACACTAATAAAGAGGAAAAGTTATAGTGAAACTATAAATACAAAAATCTAGCAGGGCCTTTAAAAAATACAATGAAAATAATGCTTTTTTTTTTTTTAAAGTTCAAACATAACGGAAGTGTGTAAAGTTTCCTTCCTTTGACTCAACTTCAATATAAACTATTGCTCAAAAAGGAGACTAAACACTTCCCCTTATTGAAAGGATATTTTTACATCTGTGGCAGCATTACACACCCTGCAGTAACACTCTTTCTCCAATTTACAGTATTATCACCTGTATCTTTTCACATAAACACATACAGCACTCCTGCCCCATGACAAGGATGCACTCTCTTCCACTACATGAACACATAGCGCTTCTTTAGCCAGTGTGCGATGAATCAAGGTATTTTCAATGTCTTCATATAATACACAGTGCTGGGCTGATCATTATTCTGTATCCACCTTTGTATATCTTATTATTTCCTTGGGATAAGTTCCTAGAAGGAGATTCATTGGCCTGAAAACCGCACCCACCGAAAGCATTAGGGACTACCATTGAACTATTCTCCAGGAAAGCTGTGCCCATTTTCACTGCCGAGTGACTTTATAGGCTACGTGTTTGGGGTCAGAAGTTCACTGGGTAAGCTCAGAGTAGGTCAAGGGAGCAGAGATTCAACTGCCTACATAAGATAAAAGCAGATGGTTCACAGTTCTGCTGGCCGTCTACAAACAACCGAAGAGAAAGTGTAAACATGTCTATATGTGCACAAAACACATCTGAACTGCTTGTGAGGCAGACTTCAGGGTGTGACGCCACTGGCCCTGCAGTCATCGCCTTAGGCTACTGTCGCTCTGTCTTCCCAGCAACCATCTTCACCTGCTAGCCCTCTAGGAAGAGATGGACACATTCTTGTGAATTTGAAATTGAATTGTGAAATTCTGTCCATGCTTTATGTAAAAAACCTGGAATCGCCGGGCGGTGGTGGCGCACGCCTTTAATCCCAGCACTTGGGAGGCAGAGGCAGGCGGATCTCTGTGAGTTCGAGGCCAGCCTGGTCTCCAAAGCGAGTTCCAGGAAAGGCGCAAAGCTACACAGAAAAACCCTGTCTCGAAAAAAAAAAAAACCAAAAAAAAAAAAAAACCTGGAATCTCTCTGGTTCAGGATTTTATTGTAGGTGACTTAGACAAACTCCAATGAACGTAGTTTCAAACTGTGGTATACTGTTTTTAAAGAAGTGTATACTGGTTCCTCGGTTTTAAGAGAAGTATGTTCTCAGCAAAGCAACTTACAAATGGCTCCACCGAGTCAGAGGGCTACTTTCCAGAACTGTAGGATTTTTCTGCAGAAGCAGAAGATCACATGTTCAACATTAATTCAGAAGCAATCAAACCACATGAGATCTGAATCGATTTTCTGTAAATATTTTTAAAGAACAGAGGTATAATCTGGAAATATGCAATTACATTTGAATTAAATTAAAACAAAATATCAAGAATTAGTTTTCTTTTTCCCAGTCGGATTCTTCATATTTTAGGCATCCTTTAACCCAGACAAGCTCTGTTTATCTTCAGAGTAAAATTAGACCCTGAGGACATTTTTTTCCCTGGATCTTCTGGATGCTTGTATAGCACCAGAGATTGATTACGTTTAGATGTCATGGTAAAGCTCACTTATCACCAACTCTGCTCACAAGCCAAACTTAGACCATCCACCAATTTCCTTTAAGGGGCTATTTCTCTCTGTAAAAATATTCAGTGTAAAGTGCTTGCAATAGCTTCCTTACCAATCATTCACCACTTCTTACACCACACTCAGAGATACATATGAGTAATGTCATCAGTTTTTAATTATCCAAGCAAAGAGAGGAAGCAATAGTGGTCTTTATTCACAAGTTCGGGTAAAGCATAAACAAAATCATATTTTAACACACACAACATGGTTTGGGGAGGAGGTGAGAGGATCATGGTACAACAGCCAGATGACCTTCCTACTTCCAACTGTCCTTGGATGTTTACATTTGTTTTCTAAAGTTTGCACACACTGACTCACTCAACAAACATCAATGGAAATTCTCTTGTAGGGAGTCCACAAAGAGGAACCAAATGTCTATGAAGATTAATTCTCTCAATTTCCAATGAGACAGTTAAAATGAACACCTTCCACACTTGGCATGGATATCCTCACTGAGTTCACACAAAAATCCGTAAGTGGTCCCCCGCCTCCTTTTATTGAAAATAGATTCTTTTCTCATACAATATATCCTAATTATAATTTCCCTTCCCTCTATTCCTCCCAGTTCCTCCCCACCTCCCATCCCATCTGGATCCACTCCCTTTTTGTCTCTCCTTAGAAAAGAACAGGCTTCCAAGAGATGTTAATAAAATATAATAAAATAAAATAAAACAAAAACTATCATATCAGGGTAGGACAAGATAAACCAACAGAAAGAAAAGAGCTCAAGAGAAGGCACAAGAATCTCATTCACACACTCAGGAATCCCATAAAATCACTGAACTAGAAGCCATATATTATACACAGAGGACCTAGTGCAGATCTTGTGCAACTCAGTTTCTATGTGTTCATACGAACTTTGTTCATGTTGATTTAGAGGACCTTGTTTTCTTGGTGTCCTCCATGCCCTCTGGCTCTTACACTCTTTCTGCCTCCTCTTCCATTGGGTTCCTTGAGGTCTGAAGAAAGAGACTTGATGGAAATATCCCAATTAGGGATCAGTGCACCAAGGTGTTCCCCCCACTCTGTGTGTATGTGTGTGTGTGTGTGTGTGTGTGTGTGTGTGTGTGTGTGTGTGTCTGTGTGTAATGTCTGGCTGTGAGTCTCTATAGTTGCACACAGTACTTTTAAGAAAGAGAAAGCCTTTATAAGAAACTGTCCTCATCTAAAAAACCTCATTGGCCCTCAGCACCCAACTCACTCTTTGGTATACCTTCAACACATACTTCAGCAGTTGTAGGGCACCTACCTTTAGGACCAAGACTAAATGGTCAAAATAGAACAGTTATTTCTTTCATTAACTAAAGTTTACTATCGTTTGACTCATAGGATAATTAAAGACACAATAAGCCCCTGCACCAAGTCCCTTTAAATTTGCATTTATGCATATACTTTACAAAAGTCAGTTATTATCATTAGTAGCTTTTGTCAGCAAAAGCCCCTAAGGGCACAAAATCAGTTACTCAGCTCATCTCATCCTAATAGGGGAAGCAGATTTTAGGATTCCTTTATAAAGGGAGAATATGAAACCTAAAGTTGCATAACTTGTGAAAAAAGAAAAAGGTTTAAAAATCTGTTCTTGTTAAGTACAGAGGGTCTTTTCTATAACCCATGGTCCAGAGCCTCACACTATGAGACAGCTACACATGTGTTTTGATTTCACCCAAAAGGAAACTCAGTCAACACTGTCATTTATTATCATTTATCAGCAAGACACAATACTAATATAACCAAAGATACATCAGTGATTAGCAGAATCATTGTCGGCCCTCCTCTGTGGCTGGACCACAGCTTAGCAAGGCTACAGTTTCAGACTTTCAGTGCTTAATTGGCGAGTGGCTCACCTTTGCTGTCTCAGCTTCTCCCAGCAGTCTCTTGGGGGTTCCTTTTTGGTCAGGCACCTTCTGGAAATTTTTGTTTTTAATGGATTGAGATTCCACACCTTCACCTTCAATTTTCAGCTTAATTCCTTCAGCATGGGCAGGGTGATCGATACCCCGTGGATTCAAACCACAGTGGAGAGCTAGGAGAGACGAACAAATAGGTCTCAGGAAACAGATCATACAAAGAAAGTGTCTGTGACAGGAAATATTTCATCAGGCCTAAGTGGGAAGAAACAAGGTGTCTGTGAGTTGAGAGGTGGTTTAATGACTGTGGGAAACAACATAGATAAGGAAAGAACACGGCATTGTAGGAAATCTTGAGCTTGGAAGTATAAATCCAAACCCCTTGATTCCAAAGACTTTTACTTTGAGCACATGGCTCATCCCCACATTACAGATGGAGCACCAGATCAGGCAACGTCATGACTACCTCCCACTTAGCTGTTTCAGGCCTGCAGTCTCCTGTATTGCTCTGCCTTCATCTAGAACCTGCTCACTCCCTGCATCCTACTGAAACCTTCTGTTCATAAAACATCCATCCATTCCATCTACACTCTTACATTCAATCACCCTACATTTATTGGGCATGTGTATACACTGTCCTTGTGGTAAACTCTTCCAACATGGACTTCAATAACACAGGTGGAACATTCTAAGAACTGTACAGAAAAATGAACTCATGATTTCTAAAAGTTATCACTGCTACGAGGGAAGAAAAGATAAAAGTGAGGGGGTTAGAGCACTCAAGCACAATAGTTACAAATTTTTCATCTTAGTCTCTGTATCTTTGGAAATACTATCTCTACCAATAAAATCTGGGGTTCATATTTTGGTATATTTATTTGAAAAATATGTATAAGCTCCTCCTATGTACCTATGTACCCAATTTTATCTAAGAAATAGCAATGAATGTGATGAGAATCATATATTCACCGAGACAAATAACCACAGACCACTACTTGCACATGCATCTGTATACCTGTATACTTGTATGTGTGCCCATGGCATATATGTGCATGTGTTTTAGGATGTGTCATAATAAAGTATTTCAGATCTCTGTGTTCCAAACCCAAAAGATTTAAATTCTTATCCACATCATCAGCTCTTTGATCTCAGATGGCTCAAAGTCAAATACTAAAATCTCCCTTTTATCTCTGTGAGGACATTAATTCACTGACGATCTCCCATAATCCATCATCTTTAGCTTCCCCTTTTCATTCTTCCCCTTTGGTCATCTTCAACTCTACACTCCTGCATTTTTCACTAGTCACTCTAACCAGGCTGTGGTTCCCACTTCTCTTACTGACTTTTGAAAACTATTTTATAGAGAAAACTACTTAGAGAATACTTCCCAATAGAAGTGAGGTAAGGCATTTTCTTCCCATTCTCTACTTTCTTACTAACAGGTATCATTGATTCCCATAGCTTTTGCTACAGGAAACACCTAATCTGAACATGTTCAATACTGAACTGACAAAAATCTGCCTGTTGATTTCCCCAAAGCTGAGGAGTCATGCATGGCTTCACTCTACCCAAGATTCACCATAATCCCTCCCATCTACCAGCAAAACCATTAGCTGGAACTCAAACAAGTGTTCATATGCATCCCCTGTTCCATCTCCCTTTCCCCCACTGTAGACCAAGACAGGCATCACATGCTCAGACTGCCATCCTAATTCGTCTGCTTCTTCTTGTCCCTTAAGACCCATGAACATAAATGTGTGTATACCATGCCATGAGACATATACCCCCCCCCCCCCGCCACAATATCCCTTGATCACCAATCTTTGTTCACATGCTTCCTTTTCTTCAATTCAAACACCTGTACCAGTTTCTCTGCATAAAATGTCCATTATTCACCTAACTCCTACTCAGCCTTTCAGTTTTGCCTTTAATATGACTTCTCTATGCATCTTTTTCTAGTAATCTTTTTCACCCCTGCACCTGTGACCTTCCCCTGGTATACCAGGTGCCTCAGAGAATAAATATCCAATAATCTAAACCATCTGCTTGAAAGGAAGATCATAGGCATGCAATTTCCTGCCATTTTATATAGATACTATTAGTGGATTTCTTTCCTTTTAGTCTCCAGCTTTCCTAAAAGCAATGAACAGCCACATCACAAAGTCAAGCATTTTGGAAGTATCAGTTCATGTGCCCTCCCTCAGGCTGTGTTATGAACCTCAAATGATATTCATGAAAATCTCTGCCAGATATAATTATATTCACTTTTCAGATAAAGGAAATGAGGCTCAAAAGGGTTATGGTCACAAAAGGTCACACAGGTGTCTGCAGAAGGTCTCAAAGATCAAGGATCATTTGGAATGCACATGATTTTAAGTTAGAGATGAGCACATCCAAACTAGATTAAATATAAAGGAAACTTGTAAGCTTCTATAATGGAAAGCTCTGTCTAAGTACAAGTCCCAAGCTAGCTGAGTTTGTAGCTCAAGAGTCCTCTAAAGGACCTTGATACCCCTCCCCATCTCTCCATGTTGCTATTGGCAGCATAACCTTTATCCTATACATAGAGACCCTTGAGCTACATGCTTCAAGTATTAACCTTGAAGAAGAGAGAACGTAGGCATAGGTCTTTCCCCAAATCATCCTTTAAACTTTAATCCTTTCCCATTGGCTGAAAGTTAATAACATGTTCATGATTGGACTGAAACCCTTGAAGCGACTGCAGTGAACTTAAGCCAAGTGAAATTCAACTATGCTCAGTTTCCCGAACATTTACTGCTGCTGCTCAATAGAGTTGGGACAAAGCTACTCAATAGAGTTGAGATAGAACGAGTATTGGAGAACAAACTACAATACTCAGATTACAGTGATAGAAAGAGAACCTGTGAGAGCACGAAACTAATTACTGTTAGTATCAATCAGCTTCTACATCTCCAAAGACTAGCCTACTTAAAATGAATATTCAATTACATATACTAAAATTGTGATTATTCTAAAAAGGTGTGCTTCTGTAGGGAGATCGTAGATTCACATGGGATGGAATTAGACATTAATGAAGAAGAGAAAAATGCCCAGCTTTGATCGTTCTCTTCCAGCATGATCCCCTGTTGCTTTCTGCATTGAAATTCAGAGTGTGGAAATATCACTGAACTACTGTGAGCTTCCAACACCTCAGATTTTCTTGCCCTATCACCTCCCACCAAATCAGACTCCCATACTCCCTTCATCTATTCCCATGGGCGCCTCCCTTAGAAAGAAGTTTTATTCAATCTGTGCATTAATATAAATTTTCACCTGGCTTCCCCTTGAGGGAGGGTGCATATGAAAGAAGATGAAGTCTTCAAAATGGAATCTTAACACCATGCTTGATACATACCCATTTATGGTGAAGATTTTTCACACTAATTGTTTTGAACAGGGAGTTTCTAACACACATTTTAGATTTTAACTCTTCATTTTGAAATGTTCAATGATAATACATTAAACAAAAGTCATATAGCTGGAAAACCTTTAGGTAAAGACTTCAAGCTTTCTATGACATTGATTTCATCACTAGAAACCTGTTAAGCAGAGGAATATTTGAGAAAAATCGAAGAAATATGAAGAGGTCTCAAAGCTGACCCTTGAGGAGGTGAGCCCATTAAACTAAGTAAATAACTTTAGTGAAAACAAGCAAGGATAGTGATGAAGACAGAAATGAGAAAGCAAAAGGGGGTGCCTTGTACATGATGAACACAGATGAAGGTCACACCTTAGAAGAGGCCATGGGAACATCACTTGATTTGGAAATATCAGGGACATAAAATTTCAGGAAAAACAAAGCAAAACCTGTCAGAAAAAATTTAAACAAATAAGTGCAAGAGCAAAAACCTAAATCAATGCTAGGTTTGCAGTCAAGGAGGGAACAGGTATGACAGATTTAAGTATTTGTGTGATGAATAAGGCTACGTGTATAGGGAGTCAAGAAGCTATACTATGCCTCTTGTTTATAGACTATCTTATACTTTGAACACCAAATATTTTACTAGTGGAGAAAACTTTCCTATTGATTTAAGGCATGACAGTGTAAAGAGAGAAGAATTCTAAACCAGAGTTCATTCTACAGTTGAACAATTTTTTTTCTTAAATGTGTATGATATGCTGTGTTTGAGATCTGGAAGTAGAGACAATCATAATAAATATGAGATGGTATGTACCTGCCCTCCTAGGATTTGCAGCCATAGTAAGGGAGGCAGATACATCCACGTGGTGGACATATCTATACTTCTTGAGCATTCAGTTCCTGAGAATAGTTGTATGAGGCAGTGCAACCAAAGGATTATTACTGAAGAAGATGTCTAGGCTCACATGTATGGTATGTAGGTTGGCTTCCTAAACAAGGGAGCTGATCTTACACATAGTGACCAACATGAGCAGATGTAGCTAGAGTTTTCCTGCCTGGCCCACAGTCAGTACAAATCTCTCTCACCCGCCAGTCCCACAGCCATTCAGACCCGACCAAGTAAACACAGAGACTTATATTGGTTACAAACTGTATGGCCGTGGCAGACTTCTTGCTAACTGTTCTTACAGCTTAAATTAATCCATTTCTATTAATCTATACCTTGCCACATGGCTCGTGGCTTACCGGCATCTTTACATGCTGTTTCTCATCATGGCGGCTGGCAGTGTCTCTCTGACTCAGCCTTCCACTTCCCAGCTCTATTCTCCTCCTTGTCCCGCCTACACTTCCTGCCTAGCCAATGGCCAATCAGTGTTTTATTTATTGACTAATCAGCAACACATTTGCCATACAGAACATCCCACAGCACTAGCAGATATCAAGAAAATATGAAAGTCTGGGTTGATTGACACTGGGGGTGACAAAAAATGAAAGGGTGATATTGGTAAATAGAAAGATAAAACAATCTAAATGTTCCATGGATGGAACAAGGGCTGGGGAAAGTGTGACAAATAAAATGGAATTATAACTTAGTTTTAAATATAAATAAGATCTTGAGAGAAAAAAATAACATGGATGAACACTGAGGAAATTATGCTAAGTGAAATTAGTCTGTCATAAAAGGACAAATATAGCTCTGTGTAGTGACTCATGTCTGTAATCCTAGCATTTGGAAGACTGAGGCAGAAGCATTGTCATACTTTTGAGGCCCAGGCTTCATAATGAATTTCCGGT